ATTATTATTTATTATTCATTAGTCATTCCAAATAAAAACACCAAATGGGGTGCGCTACTTGATTTTTTATTTTGATAAAAAAAATTGAGGATGATCTTTTATGTATCAAATATGAAAATCCGTTGCCGTTTTAATTTTTGGATTCTTTACTTTTAATCGGCACCCTTTAGGAATCTGAAATCGTGTCAATTTCTTACTCTTTTATAGTGGGCCAGAACTTTTTTTCTGTGACAAATATTGAAATGATTTTAATTTAGTTTTACTGTTCAGTAAGTGTGTTTCGATATAAATTATTATTATCCAATTAGTTAATCTCATAAAAGAATAGTAAACCACTAATTAGCTAAGGATTCATGATAATTTGCCAATTTTTGTGATTTTTGTCTGGCTCCTGTGCCTATTCTACTAAATCTAGAATACAATATACAATAGAAAACATAACTATTATTTTAAGTTTCTAGACTATCATTTTCTTTATTAAAAAAATTATTGAAACTTGATAATTCTAATAATTAGTCAATTTTGCCCTCGGAAATCACTATGTTGAGGAAAAAATAAAAATCTGAAACTTTCAGGAAATGTAGTCCCCACCTTCATCTGTTCAGTCCAGTTAGTCTTGTTTTGTTATTTTTATTCCTTTAAAAGATATATTAATTTTTTTAATGCCCTTTTAGTAGCGATATTGTTAGTTTTATTTATAATTTAAAATTTAGATGGCTTTTGGTGGAGAAGTGTCAGAACTGTCAAAAATATTTCATAAATATTATTTGTGCGTATTTATTTGGTAAATTTTGTATATAACATAATATGTCAAATTATGTTATATACAAAACTTTTTAAAATCACCAAAGGAATACCACAAATAATAATTATTAAATATTTTTGACAGTTCTGATATACTTGGTAGTTATGTTATATTTTATGTATTGTATAATAATATATATGTATATATATATATATATGATTATATTATAAATATATATGATAAGAGATCCAAAATCAATGTCAAATTACCGTCCTATTTCTCTATTGTAATATTTTTCAAAAATTTTAGAAAAAATTTTAGCCTCACTTTTGGAGAATTTTAACATTTTATCTAAATCACAGCACGGCTTTAGGAAAAACAAATCAACAAATACAGCTCTATGTTTTTTAAATTTTAAATCATACATACAAGGAGTTGGATAGGGGAAATATGGTAATGGCAATTTTTGTCTTAACCAAGGCTTTTGACTGCGTGGACCATGGTTTGTTATTAGAAAAAATGAAACGTTATGGACTGCGAGAAAAATGTAATTAAATTCTTAAAAGCTATCTCCTAAATAGAAAACAATTTGTTGTAGGTATATGGTGAAAAAACCTCGTCACAGGCTACAATACAAACCGGCGTGCCCCAAGGCAGTGTTCTTGGTCCGTTACTATTTTTGTTATATTTTAATGATGTTGAATGTTGTTAGTAGTAGTAGTTTTCACTGCGAGTATGCAGACGATTTAACAATTTTAGTCTCAGGAAAAAACTTAGAAACCATTAGAAAGGAGATAAAGGACAACTTGACAACCCTTTCTAACTACTTTGACAGTTCCCATTTGCTCTTGAATCAGAGTAAAACTTTTATTATGCAATTTTTTTCTTCTAAACCACAAAATTTAAGTAGTTTACTCATTCGTTTTAATAGTAAAACCATTCAACAGGTTAATATTTTCAAGCTCCTAGGTATTAACTTTGACTTAAACCTTAAGTGGGACTGTCATGTTTCAGAAGTTTGTAAAAAAGTATCTAAAAACTGCTTTGCACTTAAAAAACTTCGATTAATTAGTAATCTCTCAAATTGTAAGGCATAATACTATGCAAATTTTGAATCTTATATTAGATATGGAATTGTCTGTTGGGGTTATTCCACTAGTGCTCAACGAGTTTTTCTCATACAAAAAGGGGCTTTAAGATCAATGCTAGGTTTAAGTTTTGGAGATAGTTGTAAGCCAAATTTTGTTGCTAACAACATTTTAACTGTGCCATGTTTGTATATTTTGGAAATTTTAAAGTTTGTGAAAAACAATATGTGTTATTTTAACTTTCAAAATGCCAATCATGGCTACAATACAAGGTTTGGATTTAATTTACAATATGATGTACATAGGCTGCAACTGTACGTAAATAATCCCTATTATATTGGAGCTGTGCTTTATAATAAACTTCCCGAAGAAATAAAAAATTGTGTCTTTAATAAATTTGTAGGTAAAGTAAAAAACATTTTATCATTGCATGCTTTTTATTCAGTAAATGATTATTTGTTATTTGAATTTTAATTTGTATTTTAATTAGGTACTTGTCTATTTTTAACTTAACATTTTATTTATTTTATTTTTTTCCTTGTAATCTTTTGACTTGTCCTATATTATTTTTGTAATCTTTTGGATAAATAAATATATTATTATTATTATTATTATTATTATTATTATATTATATATATATATATATAATATATATCGGTTTCTTTCACAATTTAAATCAAGTTAGTCTTGTTCTATTATTTTGATCCCTTTAGTAAAGCACTGAATAGTTAAAAGATTCTTCATAGAAAAGTAACACTTTTTTGTTAAATAAACATGTATCAAAAAATGCCCCCTAACGGAGCTACGGCCCCCTGAATAGGAGCCTAAGAGAATAGGTAGTAGAACTGGTTAAAATAAAACATGTTATAATAAAGCGGTTTATTTAGAATATTTTTGTTTTTTGCTTATTTTTAACAATTTAAAACTTCTCAGAACTTGAATATTTTCTATGAGAAAGAGGTACAAAATTATGATATGTTCTTGCATTTTTAATTGAAATTAAATTCATGGACACTCCGTCATTTATTACACTTGCAAACTTTTTGAAATCACAATTTAAATACGCACAAATAATATTTATGAAATATTTTTGACAGTTCTGACATTTCTCTACCAAACATGAATTGACTAAGTCAAAGCCATCTAAATTATAAATAAAACTAACAATATCGCTTCTTAACTGCATTAAAAAAAATATTATATCTTTTACATGGATAAAAATAACAAAACAAGACTAACTAGACTGAAAAGGTGAAGGTGGGGACTACATTTCCTGAAAGTTTCAGATTTTGAAAATTATCAAGTTTCAATAATTTTTTTAATAAAGAAAATGAAACTTAAAATAATAGTTACGTTTTCTATTGTATAAGTACTTGATACCTGAAAAAAGCAACTTTCTAGATTTAGCAGAATAGGCACGGGAGCCAGACAAAAATCACAAAAATTGGCAAATTATTACAAATCAGTGGTTTACCATTCTTTTATGAGATAAACTAATTAGATAATAATAATTAATATTGAAAACATACTTACTAGGCAGTAAATTAAAATTACAATTAATTCAATAATTGCCACAGAAAAAAAGTTTTAGCCCCTTATAAGAGAGTAAGAAAATGACACGATTTCAGGTTTCTAAAGGGTGCCGATTAAAAATAAAACAACTAAAAATTAAAACGGCAACGGTTTTTCAAATATGATACCTATAAGATCATCCTCAAATTTTTTCATTAAAATAAAAAATCATGCAGCGCACTTTTAAATTCATTTTTGATGTTTTCTTTTGGATTGACTCAAATTTAAATTCGCCATTTTTGCAACTTATAGTTAATTTAAAAATTAAAATACACAGTGGATAAGTAAAATTAAACCCTTAAGTTAAAATAAAACAGTAACCATGCATGGTACAAGAAAACAAGGGATGTTTATTGGCATCTGTTTTCACCACCCAGTTGCCGCCATATTGACTATTTACATTACATAAAGTTTCGTAAGTGTAAAGAATGTTTATGCACGATGACATTATAATATGACAATTATAACAAAAATTCATTGACGTAAACGTCTTTTTATAGCCCGCGGGCGTTATTATGACCCAGCGGGCTATAATGAAACGTCAAAAATTAAAAACAACAATGTTACCCCATTTGATATATTCGAAGTAAGTTTTTTCGTATAAAGATTTTGATTTTTCCGGCAGCAGGCCGCAATTTTTCGCCTTTTCAGCTGCTTCCTCAATTTCATTCATCTTTAAACTTTAAAACTGACTGATGTCAGTTGACATTATAATATGACAATTATAACAAAAATTCTTTGACGTAAACGTCTTTAAAAACATTAATATATTAAAAATATTAATATATTAATCGTGCATAAAGTTTTGTATGCATTGCTGGCATAACTGGTTTTTATGGTCCTACGACGCATTTCTAGCCCTCGCGCTAACGCGCTCGGGCTCAAAATAGCGCCTCGGACCATAAAAACCTTATTATGCCCTTAATACATAAATAACTATTACCTGCCAAGTAAAAATCTGTAAAAACAAAGCCAAAAGAAAAAACCTGTAAATCCAATACATTTCCTTAGTATGGGTTTGATGTTTTAAGAATAGTAAGTAGATTTATTTTATAAAACATTAAAAAAGTCTTTAAAAGTGGATACGGTTCCAACTTTACACTTAACAGCTGATCTATCAAAGGAGAAATCAAGTACTTAAAGTACATAAATCCTCACAGGTTACTTTGAAAACACCAATGGTTATTTTTATCACATTAATGAAACTATAGTAATATTCTATTTTCCTAACAAGTGCGCAAAGTTACATTTTTCCGCACGCTACTGCAATTGCACGAACGACGCGAAACGGAATTCGGGCAAGCAGTAAGTGTGGAAAAATTACTTTGCGCATGTGTTAGGAACAATATTTTTTCTACTAGCGTGCGCAAAGTTAGATAACAATGATTATTAAAATAATTTTTAATAATGTTTATTACAAACGTACAATTATTAATATTTTCTAAATTAATTGTAGAACAGGGTAATAATTTTTAACGACCACTCTAATACATACTTAAAAGTAATTGATTTGAATTTTATCAGAACTAATTAACAATTATAGATATAAGGCCCAATAAATTTAAAATAATCTAATTAACAATAAATATGGTTAATGTTTCATAACGAATATTCCTAATTAACATTTAACTTATTAAAATTCTAAATATAGAGTGGTAGTCATGGTAGGCAATTTGGTTTAAAACCTGCATCATTGCACGCCAGTCTCTGAAACTAAACTGTAAAACATGCCTTTCTTGTTGTCCAACAAAATGTGTGGATGAGCGAATTCCACCAATTCGCCACCATCCATCACCATCACTTTATCAGAATCCATAACCGTATTCAAACGATGAGCAATCGTTAATACAGTGCAAGAATTAAATTTAGTTTTTGATGTTTTTTGAATTAATTCGTCAGTTCTGTGAACAGAAATAGATTATCAAAACACGATGATTTTATACTGATGATTTCTTCAAACCTTAGATCCACATTAGCGGTAGCTTCATCCAGCACCAGTATGTTATTTTTCCTTAGCAAAGCTCTTGCTAAACACAAAAGTTGCTTCTGCCCTATACTGAAATTACTACCGCCTTCCAGCACTATATCATCCAAACTCACAACGGCTCCCTTCATATTCACTTCTTCTATGACCTTCCAGATTTCATCATCTTTAAATTCCTGGAAAGGGTCCAAATTATACCGAACGGTTTCAGAAAACAGCACCGGTTCTTGCGGGATGATGGATATTTTCCGCCTCAAATTCGTAAGACCTATTTCCGATATGTTTACATTGTCAATCGTTATAGTTCCTTCAACATCAGCAAGTCTAAATAGGGCTGTTATCAGTGATGATTCTCCAGCACCAGTTCTTCCGACTACTCCGATCTAAAACAATTATTAAAAATTTCCACAAAGTTTATAATTTGAAATGTTAGTCACCTTTTGATTTTGACTGATAAAAAAGTTAAGATTTTTTAAGACAGCGTCATCATTTTCACTGTATTTTAGATACACATTTCTAAATTTAATTCCTCCATAACAAGACCATGTGTTTGCTAAGCTGACCTCTTTTAAATTCTCAAGTGGTTCTTTCTCTAGTTTTGTGTAAGATCAAATTCTTGCAACTGATGCAAAGTAAGTGCAACCTTCAGTGCAATGTTTTAAACCATTTGGCAGTAGACCATTAAAAGATATGGCTTGCGATAGAGCTAAACCAACGTTTGAGTCATCCACATGATAAACTTAAATTACACATTAAGATATACAGTGACTAGCAAAAGTATAAAACAAATCCATTAAAAAATGATTTTTCAAGTCTTCTAAATTTTGTGGTCTGTTAATGTAGATCTTTGATGTAGTCCCATAAGAAATAATCAAGAGGGGTGAGATGTGGAGATCTCGCTGGCTACTCTTTATTGACAACCATTTGCAACGTTTTTTTAAATTTTTTACAGCCTATTTAAAAAAAGTATAATAAGTATAATAAAATGCTGCTGATAATTTTCTGCTTTATTGTAAATGTCAAAATGGCTTCACAGAAAATCCATGAGTGAGAGTGACTGTGAATGAGTAAGGGAGAAAGGAGTAAGGGAGAAATAAATAAATCCAATTTGACAACCTCCTTTATGGGTTTCACGAATAAAAAACGGTTTTAATCATCAAAATTATCTTACTGTTTTTTAATCAAATATATTAATCCTTTGAACTGATGTGGTTTCACCGCGAAACCACACTTTTAAGATCATAAAGATTTTTAGGTTAGTGTTTTTGATAGATCGATTCTTTATGTCTTAATATCGACCTGATGATAAAAATATATCACAATGGCTTTTGCTTTATGTTTAATTTAGTATTCTCACAAAATTTTACAAAGTTTTACTAGTCTGTGTTTCAGTGTATTTAATAGAAGACCAAAATTTTAACGTTTTTTCTTAATTTTATTGAATTATAAATAAAATTTAATATTAAACATTGATTTTTATTTTAAACAAAATATTGAAATTAAATTATATATTGAATATTAAACAATAATAATATTGAACATTGAAAGAATTGAAAGTTTTATTTTGTTGTAATAAGCATAGGTTTAAAATAATGTTTTCGGTGAAAAAAGTACGTAAAAACTCAAAAAACTGCAATCATGCACTTTATTTAGGTTTTCATTAAAGAATAAACATATTACAAAATAAAAGAAAAACAATAAAATAAAAATCGTCAAAAAGCTGAATTTTGGTCTTCCACTAAGATTCATAACTTCGCCATTTTTCCATGTATTTTTATCAACATTAGCTTGTTTTTTTTGTAAAAATGTCAGCTTCACGAAAAAAAATTCAAACTTGAGTTATGTTTCATTGAAACCTTTCCCAGGACGATATGTAAATTTTCGACATCAATTTGTGCCATAAAAACGAATTTTTTAAGTTATTAAAATCGCTAGCGTCAAAATACTTATCCGATATCAAAAGTATGTAAAAGAAAATTTTAGAGGGCTCAAATACCTTAATTTAAGGGCTTGTTTGACCAAATCAATTAATTAGATTTCAAGCTATACTCAAAAACGTCAAAACACCTCCGAAAATTGAAAAAAAATTGTATGAATTATTCATATTTCAAAAACGCTTCCATAAAAAAAATTGAGTGTGATTTTCGTGTTTAGTGGGTTAAAATACATAGAAAAATTTTAATGGGATATGTTGGGAATTTTTTTTTATCGATTTTGTAAACTAGTGTAATAATAAAATTTGTCTTAGAACGGAATATTTTTTATTTATTGCAGTTTTACAAACTTGTTATTCGCTTTTCGTAAGCAGATAACGCAACACTTTTGAGAGTGTTTAACATCGACGATCCTGTTTCTCGAGCCATTTTATAAAATAAAGTATCTTCATCTTTAATAAGCAAATATGGGTGATCGAATTCAACGATTTTTCCATTCTGCAAAACCATCACTTTATCGTAATCCATTATTGTCATCAAACGATGCGCTATAGTTAGAACGGTGCAATCTCGGAATTTCTCTGCAATGGTATCTTTAATCATCCGGTCTGTTCTAAAAATAAATGTACATAAAATGCAGTCGGCAGTTATATGCTATGCTGAAAAACGTTGTATACAGCTTTTAAGTGACAGAAATGAGTTTTGTGTAATATGAAGAGAAACGGATGCTTATGTATGAAATATGCGACTTTACTTTCCATAGAAAATGATCTGCAGAGAAAGCAATAAACCAATCAGAGCACTGCATTCTCCACAGCAAAAAATCTCTAGTTCACATTCAAGTTATATCAAGACTTACTGTAAGTCAACATTGGCAGTGGCTTCGTCCATTATTAGAATCCTGTTTTTTCTTAGTATGGCCCTGGCCAAACACAAAAGCTGTTTTTCTCCTAGACTGAAGTTATTTCCAGAATCTTTCACCATAAAATCCAAACTCACAATGCTCTGTAATTGAACCTATAAAATAAATATTTTCTGTTTTGATATTGATTAGAAACGTATTCCAAACTAACTTCTTTTATGGCCTCCCAAATTTTTTCGTCTGGATATTCATTAAAAGGATCTAAATTGTACCTTATTGTATCCGAAAACAGTACTGGTTCTTGTGGTATGATTGCTAATTTTCGTCTTAACTTTTTTAAAGGCACCTTTTTAATATCTATATTATCGATTAAAATATCACCTTCGTAGTCATTAAGCCTGAATAAAGTGGATATTAATGATGATTTACCAGCACCAGTTCTTCCAACAATACCAATCTAAGAAACAAGAAAAATATATAGTATTACATATTATAAAAATAAGTTTTACCTTCTCATTAGCTTTAATATCGCAGTTTATGTCACTCAAAACATATTCTGTATCATTATACTTCATTTTTACATTTTGATAGAATATATTGCCATGTAAAGGCCAGCTATTTTCTAAATTATTTGTTTGTACATCTGATTCCTCTCTTTTTAAAAATGTATAGCTCTGCAGTCTACCAACCGTTGATATTAAAAATAAAGAATCTACCAGTTTTCTTAGTCCCAGTTGAATTATTCCCAGAAAGTTTAGAATTTGTGTTAAGGCCAGACCAACCGTGCTGGCATCAACTATATGAACTAAAAAGGATTGATTTATTTAAAAAATTACATTAAAATTTCTTATTGAAAACCTACAAAGTTGGTGGGTGAGAACGAAATAGAAGGTTAAAGCTGCTAAAATTATTGTCATAAAGGAGTCAATCCACGTGGCTACTGCGTATAATAAGCCTCTCATTAAATACCCCGAAGAATTGTATACATCCTAAAAATTAAAAATAAAATTTTCTTGTAGTATCAACACAAAACAGATTACAGAGAAAAACGAGAATTTGAGCAAGACAGAGGAGCAAATAACGTCTTGTTTACCTACCTGTATTTCGTCAAATTCAGAAATTACCAAGTTCTGTTTTTTACTTGTACGAATCGTGGTTAATCCCAAAACAGTTGAGTTTAGTTGAGATAACATTGTAGATTTTGCTAAAAAAAAGAATTTATTTATAAAGTTTCAATTATGGCGAATGCGCCGGGATTAACTTAAAATAAATCTGCACCATTTGGTAATAAGTCGATTTTTTCCAAATAAATGATAGTTATGAAAGGTACCTTTTGTTTTTACTAATATTTTTACGAAAATAAAATGGTTTGCTAACTTTTAGGTCCAGACTTTTGTATACTTTACCTTCTCCTTCCAAAGGTTCGAGTCGCCTGGTTATCTTATTTAATCCAAAAAGAAGAGAAAATAAAAATGGCAAAAGAAAAATTGCAAACACTACGTAATATACATCGTTCAATATTAAAATAACTATTGATCCAAATAAAAATAGAGTATTCTAAAATCGAGTGTGAATAAATTTTTAAAAATAAAATGTTATAGTTTATTATTACACTGTGCGATAATAAAATTTTGTCCAAAAGTTTGACAACTAATATCGATATAAAATGAAAATTATTCTAAACACCCTGTATTTTATATTTTATTTTATGGATATCTTATTTTTCAAACAATCAGGATTTTTTATAAAGAATGATATTTTCGTATACGAAACTATAGTTCTCTTTTAAAGCATTTTCATGTTCTTTTAATTTCTGAGCACCCTGTACATACATTTAATTCAAATTTTTTTAGGGAATCTCATTTTTTAATCAAGTATGAGTTTTTATGAAAAAGAATATACAGTGTATAGCTGAATTGAGCTAGACTGGCGATTGATTTCTGAGGGGCTATATTACCGATATTAGGGGTCAAATTTTTGGCCAATAATCGAACCCCCGTTTTGTCGCACAGTGTTATTAACAAATCTTACTCTTGAAGCTTCAATTAAAGTTGTTGGCAGTACTTGATCTAAATTTCCAATATCTCTAGAAAATGTGCCAAAAATATGTCCACTGTAATGCAAATTAAAGAACCTCAAAGGGGCCGCTAGCAATGAACATAGCATATCATTGTGAATACTTTTTGAAGCTGTTGATATAAATTTTTTGGTCATAAATAAACTTATGATCGTCACTAAAAATGCAACCAATGTTATGATTGAATATGTAATTGTAAAGGAAATATCTTCATCGTGAAGTGCAGATTCGTATTCAATGTTATTGTAAAAATTATTTTTTTGGGTATCGTTGTGCAATAGGTGGATTTGTGTCGACGTTTTTCGTTCTTGAGTCCTTAAAAGAAATTTGTATGGGTAATAATAAACATTTATGATAAACACCATATTTACCACACTTTGAGGAAATAATCAGAGCAAGAATAACAAGCTTGGCAAAAAATATAAAAAAATGAAAATATAGATAAAAATACAAAATTGCCTCCCGATGTAAAATAGTATTTTGATGCTGTGTAATTATTTATTTTTTTTAGTAGATTATTTTCAGAGTTTTTAGACTTGAACGGATTTTTTTCCTAAAAATTATATTCTTAGACAGTTTTAATAATATTTGATGTAAATGTACCTTAATTTCTTCCTTGTATTTTACCTTCTCATTTCCTTTATCATTTTCATAGGATAAAGAAATTAATTTTATTAATTCAACATTTTTATTTTGTATTTCTTCAAATGTCCCACAAGCTTCAATACAACCCTAAAACAGTTTTAAAATAATAGTTTTGAACAAACTTTTTTATACATTTTACTTTATTTAGAATAACCAAAAGATCAGCTCGGTGCAAGTATTGTAGCTGGTGGGTAACTAAGATTCTAGTTTTGTCTTTTAGAAAACCTTGTATACACTGCTCAAATATATGTCTACCAACTGGAGAATCTACAGCGGATAAGGGATCATCCATGATATAAATATCAGATTTTCTATAAACTGATCTGGCCAAATTAACTCTTGCTCTCTGACCACCACTTAATATAACTCCTGAAATTTTGGTTAAAATACACGATTTTTTATTTATATCAGGGTGGGTTAGTAATTATTTACAAAATCATGGCCCTAGTAGTGGCGAAGTATTGGGATAAACATCAAGATAATGTTTAATCCAATATATTATGTGGAACGAAGTAAGTACTTGACCTTGCCTCGTAATTCTTTTTACCTTTCTCCCCTACAAGACTTTGATCAGAGTTTGTCATTTGATTTAAATCATTCCCTAGGTCGCATATTCTTACAACATCTTTGTATCTGACTTCATTGTACTCTTCGCCAAATAATATATTATTTTTTATTGTTGACCCGTATAACCACGGTTCCTGGGAACAATACGAAATTTTGCCGTTTATTTTAACATTTCCTTCGGATCCATTTAACTCGTTCAAAAAGGCGTTCAACAGTGTTGTTTTTCCTGATCCTACAACTCCTATAAAATAAAGTTTTTTATGTACCTACCTACGAACAAGTATAAAAATATAAACCTGTTATAATACAAAGCTTTCCTTCAGGAATATTTAATTTGGGAATTTTTAAACCAGTTAAATCATTTAAACAATATTTGTAATTGTGTAGACAAACGTTATCGTTTGAAACAGTACCAACTTCTTCCTGTTCAATTTTTTCCTGTTCCAATAAAAAATCCACAACTCTTTTGAAAGTAACTTTTATCTGCGCACTGTAATTAATAACGTTTGAAAAAACAAAACTGATATTAGGCCGAAGCAAATTTATATACTGTATCGACGTAAATACAGCTGAAGCCTCCAACTTTTGCGTGAAAAACAAATAGCCCACTATAACAAAGTAAATGGAGACTTTCTGCCAGGCGAAGCTAAAGAAATAAGATTGTATCGTCAGCATAAACGATAAATTGTTGATTTCCAACTCTTTTTTGCGATGTTTTGAAATTAGTTTTTCGAATGGCGTTTCCCAAGCATACATCTTGATTACTTTTATACCGGATATGATTTCATCAATTAATTTTAAACGCAAGTCGGTACACTTTGAAAGTCTTAAACGGAGTTTTCCAACCATTTTAAAAGTTACTAAAATAAGTAAATTAATATGTGGTACTAATAAAATTTCAGCTTACAATTTGAAGGCAAAGCAGTTACTATTAAAAATCCAATTCCAATTAAACAAGAAAATCCAATTTCCTGCCACATGAGGTATGTGATCAAAATTGTTTGTATCGGAGTTAAATATAGAATTTTTGAATGCAAGCAGTATGGTTCTATAACATTCATATCGTTAGTTATTAGGTTTACTATTTTTCCAACTGGATATTTCGTCAAAGCTGATTTGTCTATTCTTAATACCTAAAAATTCCACAGTCTAAATTTGTCCTACCATATTTTAAATTTATCCCACTGTGCCAATTGTTTCTGCCATTTTTTAAATTTATCCCTCTGTGCGAATTTTTTTCACCATTTTTTAAATTTACGCATGTAAGGGCAGTTTTCAAATACCCAAACATTAATTTTAATGTGCAGTTTGCAATTACTAGGTTTTAAATAAAAAAAACAAGCAATGGTAGTCCATAATGTTAAACGGGTTTGAATAAATTAAAAGAAAAAATACATGAATCTCATCGATTTTTTTGTACCTAAACAGGTTAATAAATATATTGAAAAATCTTTTCAAAAGAATAACATTATCTAGATGTGAACCATAACTCTTCAAAACTTTAAACCTCAAATTTGTAGAAACTGTAATACTCACTTTTCGATATATTAAAGATTTAATGCCAGTTATTATTTTAATGCTTAATATTGAAGCATTATATTGTGCTATGAAATGAAATAGAACATGTACTAAAACACTGAAAACTAAAAGAGATCCTGTTATTATTTGCCAATTAAACCTTTCCTGTGTTTTTGAAAAAGTTTTAAGAAACATAGACAGAAGTACTGTTTGAAGAGGTCTAAAATAAATTATAGTCATAAAATCATCAATACACGTAGATTAAAAAAGACTTGCTTTACTACTAAAAACATAAAGCAATATAAAAATGTTTGTATTATGTAGTCCTTTATAAATAAAGCTTTTAAAACGTTTACTAAAGTCGGTGTGCGTTTTTCATGTAGAGATAATGCAATTTCTTTTTTCCATTCCTTCTCCATTTTATCCCCCAATTCTTTTGCAGAGCTTCCCTTAGGTTGTTTAAAGAGATCATCTTGTGAAAGATGATCATTTCGAAAATACTTTAGGATCCATCTAAAAAGTATATTTTATTATATTTAAAATTTAATTTAAATTAAATACTTACAAAAATAAAATTTTACTTAAAATATTAGCTTTTTCATATGGGTAAGGTGCTTTTAGTTTTACAATATTTGTATTCATTGATGTTGACCAGTTTACTATTTTAACTGTTTTAAAGTCAATTATGTTGGCAACAAATTTGCTTATTTAAAAGTTTTTTGATAAGGTTGCTTATCATGAAAATACAATATTATTATTTATTATTCATTAGTCATTCCAAATAAAAACACCAAATGGGGTGCGCTACTTGATTTTTTATTTTGATAAAAAAAATTAAGGATGATCTTTTATGTATCAAATATGAAAATCCGTTGCCGTTTTAATTTTTGGATTCTTTACTTTTAATCGGCACCCTTTAGGAATCTGAAATCGTGTCAATTTCTTACTCTTTTATAGTGGGCCAGAACTTTTTTTCTGTGACAAATATTGAAATGATTTTAATTTAGTTTTACTGTTCAGTAAGTGTGTTTCGATATAAATTATTATTATCCAATTAGTTAATCTCATAAAAGAATAGTAAACCACTAAGGATTCATGATAATTTGCCAATTTTTGTGATTTTTGTCTGACTCCTGTGCCTATTCTACTAAATCTAGAATACAATATACAATAGAAAACATAACTATTATTTTAAGTTTCTAGACTATCATTTTCTTTATTAAAAAAATTATTGAAACTTGATAATTCTAATAATTAGTCAATTTTGCCCTCGGAAATCACTATGTTGAGGAAAAAATAAAAATCTGAAACTTTCAGGAAATGTAGTCCCCTCCTTCATCTGTTCAGTCCAGTTAGTCTTGTTTTGTTATTTTTATTCCTTTAAAAGATATATTAATTTTTTTAATGCCCTTTTAGTAGCGATATTGTTAATTTTATTTATAATTTAAAATTTAGATGGCTTTTGGTGGAGAAGTGTCAGAACTGTCAAAAATATTTCATAAATATTATTTGTGCGTATTTATTTGGTAAATTTTGTATATAACATAATATGTCAAATTATGTTATATACAAAACTTTTTAAAATCACCAAAGGAATACCACAAATAATAATTATGAAATATTTTTGACAGTTCTGATATATTTGGTAGTTATGTTATATTTTATGTATTGTATAATAATATATATGTATATATATATATATGATTATATTATAAATATATATGATAAGAGATCCAAAATTAATGTCAAATTACCGTCCTATTTCTCTATTGTAATTTTCTTCAAAAATTTTAGAAAAAATTTTAGCCTCACTTTTGGAGAATTTTAACATATTATCTAAATCACAGCACGGCTTTAGGAAAAACAAATCAACAAATACAGCTCTATGTTTTTTAAATTTTAAATCATACATACAAGGAGTTGGATAGGGGAAATATGGTAATGGCAATTTTTGTCTTAACCAAGGCTTTTGACTGCGTGGACCATGGTTTGTTATTAGAAAAAATGAAACGTTATGGACTGCGAGGAAAATGTAATTAAATTCTTAAAAGCTATCTCCTAAATAGAAAACAATTTGTTGTAGGTATATGGTGAAAAAACCTCGTCACAGGCTACAATACAAACCGGCGTGCCCCAAGGCAGTGTTCTTGGTCCGTTACTATTTTTGTTATATTTTAATGATGTTGAATGTTGTTAGTAGTAGTAGTTTTCACTGCGAGTATGCAGACGATTTAACAATTTTAGTCTCAGGAAAAAACCATTAGAAAGGAGATAAAGGACAACTTGACAACCCTTTCTAACTACTTTGACAGTTCCCATTTGCTCTTGAATCAGAGTAAAACTTTTATTATGCAATTTTTTTCTTCTAAACCACAAAATTTAAGTAGTTTACTCATTCGTTTTAATAGTAAAACCATTCAACAGGTTAATATTTTCAAGCTCCTAGGTATTCACTTTGACTTAAACCTTAAGTGGGACTGTCATGTTTCAGAAGTTTGTAAAAAAGTATCTAAAAACTGCTTTGCACTTAAAAAACTTCGATTAATTAGTAATCTCTCAACTTGTAAGGCATAATACTATGCAAATTTTGAATCTTATATTAGATATGGAATTGTCTGTTGGGGTTATTCCACTAGTGTTCAACGAGTTTTTCTCATACAAAAAGGGGCTTTAAGATCAATGCTAGGTTTAAGTTTTGGAGATAGTTGTAAGCCAAATTTTGTTGCTAACAACATTTTAACTGTGCCATGTTTGTATATTTTGGAAATTTTAAAGTTTGTGAAAAACAATATGTGTTATTTTAACTTTCAAAATGCCAATCATGGCTACAATACAAGGTTTGGATTTAATTTACAATATGATGTACATAGGCAACTGTACGTAAATAATCCCTATTATATTGGAGCTGTGCTTTATAATAAACTTCCCGAAGAAATAAAAAATTGTGTCTTTAATAAATTTGTAGCTAAAGTAAAAAACATTTTATCATTGCATGCTTTTTATTCAGTAAATGATTATTTGTTATTTGAATTTTAATTTGTATTTTAATTACTTGTCTATTTTTAACTTAACATTTTATTTATTTTATTTTTTTCCTTGTAATCTTTTGACTTGTCCTATATTATTTTTGTAATCTTTTGGATAAATAAATATATTATTATTATTATTATTATATTATATATATATATATATATATATATATAATATATATATTATATATATATATATATATATATATATATAATATATATATCGGTTTCTTTCACAATTTAAATCAAGTTAGTCTTGTTCTATTATTTTGATCCCTTTAGTAAGGCACTGAATAGTTAAAAGATTCTTCATAGAAAAGTAACACTTTTTTGTTAAATAAACATGTATCAAAAAATGCCCCCTAACGGAGCTACGGCCCCCTGAATAGGAGCCTAAGAGAATAGGTAGTAGAACTGGTTAAAATAAAACATGTTATAATAAAGAGGTTTATTTAGAATATTTTTGGTTTTTGCTTATTTTTAACAATTTAAAACTTCTCAGAACTTGAATATTTTCTATGAGAAAGAGGTACAAAATTATGATATGTTCTTGCATTTTTAATTGCAATTAAATTCATGGACTCTCCGTCATTTATTACACTTACAAACTTGCAAACTTTTTGAAATCACAATTTAAATACGCACAAATATTATTTATGAAATATTTTTGACAGTTCTGACATTTCTCTACCAAACATGAATTGACTAAGTCAAAGCCATCTAAATTATAAATAAAACTAACAATATCGCTTCTTAACTGCATTATAAAATTATTATATCTTTTACATGGATTAAAATAACAAAACAAGACTAACTAGACTGAAAAGGTGAAGGTGGGGACTACATTTCCTGAAAGTTTCAGATTTTGAAAATTATCAAGTTTCAATAATTTTTTTAATAAAGAAAATGAAACTTAAAATAATAGTTACGTTTTCTATTGTATAAGTACTTGATACCTGAAAAAAGCAACTTTCTAGATTTAGCAGAATAGGCACGGGAGCCAGACAAAAATCACAAAAATTGGCAAATTATTACAAATCAGTGGTTTACCATTCTTTTATGAGATAAACTAATTAGATAATAATAATTAATATTGAAAACATACTTACTAGGCAGTAAATTAAAATTACAATCAATTCAATAATTGCCACAGAAAAAAAGTTTTAGCCCCTTATAAGAGAGTAAGAAAATGACACGATTTCAGGTTTCTAAAGGGTGCCGATTAAAAATAAAACTACTAAAAATTAAAACGGCAACGGTTTTTCAAATATGATACCTATAAGATCATCCTCAAATTTTTTCATTAAAATAAAAAATCATGCAGCGCACTTTTAAATTCATTTTTGATGTTTTCTTTTGGATTGACTCAAATTTAAATTCGCCATTTTTGCAACTTAAAGTTAATTTAAAAATTAAAATACACAGTGGATAAGTAAAATTAAACCCTTAAGTTAAAATAAAACAGTAACCATGCATGGTACAAGAAAACAAGGGATGTTTATTGGCATTTGTTTTCACCACCCAGTTGCCGCCATATTGACTATTTACATTACATAAAGTTTCGTAAGTGTAAAGAATGTTTACCTGCCAAGTAAAAATCTGTAAAAACAAAG